AATATCAGAACGCATTCATATCCACCTCCTCCCCTTCCATCCCTTCCGCCCAAGGTTCCCCCCCTCCAGTCCCCGCCCCTCCCCTCCCTTCTCCGGACTTCGCTCCCTTCCCACCACTTTCCATTAATCTTACAGAACCTTTTCTCCGTCCACCTTCCCCTGCCCACGCCCCTCACCTTTCCTTCGACCGCGCCGTGCCCACCCTGCACCTCTCCCTTCCCTTCCCCTCGCCCCTTCCATTCCCGCCCCCACCCCTCCCCCCTGCCCTCCCCTCCACTCATCACCGAGCCTGCACCCTTGCCCCGGCCCCGCGCCGCCCGCGTCAAGCGAGGCGGAACACGTCGCCTTTCGCGAGCGATAGCGTTTACAAAGCGGCTTGTTTATTTACTACTGGGAGGAGGCCGGCGACTGCGCTCCAGTATCGCGGAAAAAAGCGGAAACCGCACCTCGACCTTGGCGGTTTTAATAGTTGGGATTGTCGAGCTCCGGCGACTAACGACGACGGCCGCAGCAGGCGGCGGTGATAGCGGCGGCGGCGGCGGCTGTTGGCAGCCGTTTAGGCGCTGCCTGGTGGGCTGGTTGGCGTGGCTGAGATGTGAAACGGTAAATGCGTAGACAATGTGGCGTGATTGTATCAAAAGCGATGAGGCGTGAGGTCGTCTTTCTTTTATGCCTCAACAGCACATATAGTTTCAGAGATAGACCAAGGCCAATCTATAAGGACATTTTTGTCTAGATCAGAGGGTGATGGTCCATTCAATGGGGAGTGATCATCCATTGATCGGCCCTAATTAATGTAGGAAGAAATGGAAGATATGGAAGGAGGAATTGCGCGCAATCTTAGTTTCGTATTCTAGGGCTACTCCGGCACTTACCTGGAAGCGATCAGAGAAAACCACGGAAAACTTTGATCAACCTCCCGACCCATTAATTCGATCTTGGCGCCAGAGGATCCATAAATTCGGGTGCCAGACAAACTCACTGATGCCAAACACATCTCGCTTTTGTCACATGGCGGGAATCGAAACCTTCAAACCCCTCTCAACTGAGAGCTGTAAGACACTCCCATAAGGAGAAGAAGTAAAGAAGAGAAATAAGAAAAGGTCATGGTAGATGACGATAAGAGATTGAGAAGTTAAGAAGTTACTAGGTGAGGAGGATATACAAGATGGATAAATCTAATGAGTGATGAGGAAGGAATTTGTGGGCGAGAGGTGATGGGTTTATAAAGAAATTATTATTATTATTATTATTATTATTATTATTATTATTATTATTATTATTATAGTAATACAGGATCGAACGAATTACGTAAAATAATGATAAAATAGAAAAAGGAGCAAGAGACTTCGAATCAACAATTACGCGAACGAGAAAATCACAACAATGAAAGAAACAGATGAGTGTGCGATAAAGATCGGAGCAAACACAGAAAGAATATCTTTGAGTGAAAAGCAACAGAACACAAGAGAAATACGATTTCGAGCTGAATGCAAGGGTGATTGCGGCAAACAGCGTGGGAGAAACGAACGGGCTGCAACATGCAGCTGCCAGGCTGAATAAGCCGAGCTACCTTGTACGAGATGTTGTTGGGTGCGGAAGGGCGGAGTGAATCGGAATGGGGCGGGGCTGCAGGCGAGACGAAACAGGATAAGGAGCGGCGAGGCACCCACTGGTGGCAGCGGCTGTTGTGTGCGCGTGACATAAGCCCACTCGCACGTTTCTGATCATTTGTCAGTTTAGTGGAGAAACGCGTTCGAATAAAATAGGATTGTCTTGGTGTTGCACGGTTTTTACTGTATGCAGGCCCCCTTTCTAATAATAGAAGTACTGGTTTTCCATTCTGATGTGAATGATCTGTGGAATCTGAAGGTCCCTGACAGTTCTTTATAGATTATTTTGTGTTAAAATGTTAAACTCGCGTGTTTCTGATCATTTGTCAGTTTAGTGGACAAACTCGAATAAAATAGGATTGTCTTGCGGTTGCACAGATTTTACTCTATGCAGGCCTTATATGTTTTCTACTAATAGGTGTACTAGTTTTCCCTTCTGATTTCGACGATATGTGCAATCCGAAGGTCCCTGCAATTTTTGTATGAATTATTTTGATCTAAAATTGTAAACACATGTTGTTTGTAGCTGTAATTATCTATTGATGTTGCTGAAAATTATTAATTATTGCTTGAATAAGTGTAATTGCCGAAATAAGTTTTATTCTCGGTGGAATTTTATAAAATAAATAAGGGACATTGAACATACAAAAAATTGTTTAAAGTATAAAACATTTACATGAATTCAAGGATTATTTTATCTACTACATAAATTGAACAACTGATTACTCTATCGAATTATAAATATTTACTTCTACATCTATCAAAATATGTACCGGTTTGTTGTTCTGAATGAAGAGTGTAAACCGATCTTTATTCTGTAGTCTAACATTTCATTAAGTCCATTTTTGATACAGTACACTTCGTGTGTTAATAATTCTGGGCGTAATCATTAACGTACTGACATTTTATTCAGACTGTTCATTTAGTCAGATCAATGTATATATATATATATATATATATATATATATATATATATATATAATCATATTCATAATCATAATATTACACGAATCTACAAAATACAAATGTTAATTAATTTTTTTGTTTTAGGTGTAGGCGTACCTTCGTTCTCCCATCGAACACCGCGAGGGCTGCAAGGTAAGAAGATACTTCAAAATGAATAAACTTTTTAAAAAGTGTTTGTAATTTCATGGGATGAAGCTTTGCAACTATCAGCATTGGACTGTTATACTCGCTCAGGAGCGAGTCCAGCAATATTTTAGGGCGATGTCAATTTCAGTTAAGATTCCATAAATTGTTTAGATCCCGGAACTGTTAGCATGAAATTTTTTTTGAAAAAGTACGAAATTATGCATAATGTGAATGCTGATGTGGATTTTATGAAATATCTGTATGATAACTAATGAATAAATGGAATATAATTACAAAACATAATTTGGGTTAGGGGACATGGCTCGTATACTCCCTCCTCGGGTCCGCCAAAGCATTCATTTTCAGTGAGCAAGCATTATCTAAATATGAAAATGCTCTTTAAGGAGGAGGATTCAATTTCAAATATAGCTATTTAGTAAATGTTTTCCTTATCAATTCAGAAGAACAAAATATCTTCAAGTTTCAGTAATGTTGATATTAGGTTGGACATAGCACGTTAACAGTTGATCGATTTGAAAACAATCAAAATTACACAACTAGATCGAAGTAATTCTATTTTCAGATAAGACTTCCTTCTATTATCATTTATTAAAACATCATCCGGAGGAACTATTTACTTTTATATATGCTTAGTTTTAATATTAAAAAAATAGTTTTGCTAAAAGTATATAAAAAAGTCAAAATAAAATAAAATACTCAAATAGGCCAATGAATGAAATACTGCTTGAAATATACATAATATTATTTCTCTCGTTCTCTCTGTCCAAGCTTTCCAATATTTTGAATCAAAACTGTAAAGGAATATGTGCTGTTTGTTTTCAGGGATTTCTGTGCTTGCATTTGCTCGGATCTGATGTTATTTATGAAATGTCGGTGTATCTATTGAGTCATACATTTCATGTGAGAGCCTGAAAGCAGATAAATAATTACATATTGATTCTAATTTTCAATACGTACAGTTTCATTCTGTTATCTGTTCACAGAACCATTTTGAATGTATTCAGCGTATCTTTTATATCTGAAATAACATACGAGTAAAAATGTGCCTACAATTAATGATAATTATCATGAAAGATATTTATTTCATCTACGAATGAAATTGAAAATACAAATAACGTACTTTGCATGGACTCCATTGATTATCGTTTTAATCAGCAGAAAACAAATTATATTTGTTTGTCGCTTACGCCATACGAGAGCTGCTACTTCCAACTATATTATTAGTTTCAGCGATTCGCTGATTACCAAAAAATTGGAATTGGATCGCGTTATGTATTTGTCTCATCCAAGAGCAAACCATTGACTCACTAACGTAAAGATCACTAGGTAGATTTATTTTCTTCATTGATTTTCTTAGATGTGGTAGATAAATCTGAGGTCTTTTGATTTAAGAGTTCTAAGACGACCTAGTTATATGCATAGCCAATCTAAGTTTCATAATTTAAATTGTTCACACTTATTGATTCCTCAATATTTTTGTCATAGATAATTTTAAGGAAAAATATGCGTGATATAGGAAATCTACTGTACAAACCTGTAGTGTCAGCCAAAATTAAAATAATTATTGTATGTTTTTCACAGCATAGTACAAATGTACATTGTACTATACTACTGTACTATGTTCTGAAAAACCTACAATATTTATGGTAATTGTGACTTACTTGTTGATAAACTGAAATTTGAAGATAGATCGTAGCGAGGGAGGACACCAATGCCTACTTAGTTGCACCATCCGCAATGGAAGATGAGTATTCAAATACGACACCAGGCCGATTGCAGAGATAGGTACCTGGTTGATCTCCCCAATCTGTTAGCGATCGCACTACTCACGCAAATACTAATTAAATCGCGAAGTGGTTTCGTTGGAGTCATTTCGCAGCCACGTGAAAATCTTTTTTCACTGGTGCCACTGCGAGCTCCCATTTCTCTTCCGTACATTGAGGCTTACAGTTAGTGTGCTACTCAGTACTACCGTCACTTCTATCACCAATGTACGTCACTAAAACAAATCTACCACCACGTTACACCAACCAATATCTTCTCTACTGCCATCACGACACAATTACTAACGACTTCATCACCACAACAGCTTTCGACACCGGTCCTGTCACCACTACAATCACCGCTGCCACCACTTCTGCGATCATCATTTACAGTAGCAACAATGAACTACCCAGCTGCCCATGTATGAACATGTAATATATATATATATATATATATATATATATATATATATATATATATATATATCGCTCACTTACATTTTTCCCGTAGTTTCTAACAACAATACTATTAGTAGTACTAATATTAATAATAATGTAATAATAAAAATATAATAATATAATCCACATCATCATCATTATCATCATCATCTCCATACTTTCCATGTTTGCTTCACCTCAGGCTCCCTTCACTCCAATCTCTTTTCTTCGCTTCGCCGCGAGAGTCACTCCGCGTTTCTTTATTTGTGGTGTGTTTATTACGGGGACCAGTTCTCATAGTTATGTAGATGGTCGCTTGGTTCCTCGACAGCGCGGTAATGATTTAATAATACAATCTTCACCAGCCTTCCATTAAATATGTTAATTATTTGATTTAAATTGTACGGTGCGGGGCGCGTGAGCCAGAGAGCAGGACGAGAGAAAGCGGGACGGCGCCGAACAGCCACAGTGGGTCGAAATGACACTGAAATTGCGCGCGTATTGTTACTTTTTCAATGGAGCTTGCGATTGCTCGTTTGAATGTTTTTAGTGCTTTTGATAAAAGCGTTTCTGCTTAACCAAGAAAGAATGCCCGATAAATGGTGAGAGTAAAGCAAATTGAAACAATAAAATTAATGAACTTGATTTTTTTGTGAGTTAAGGTTTATATTTATAACTGGAGTTCATTTTCACGGCGCAAATTATCTGAAAGACACATGTTTAAGAGGTTTTCGCTGCAGAGGTACAAACATGATCACTGAAAAATGTTACTAGTACAACCGATTTGTCAGTATCTTCTTTCAAAATGCATTATCTAAGAAATGAATGTATTAATTTACGTTTAATTAATGGTTTTATTGAGACTTGCCCTTAGCTAGAAAATGAATAAATTATTGTTATTATTATCATTATTATTTTAGAATTTTTTCTTGTGCTTTTACTGAGGTATCGTAATTAATAAAGCTTATATTAATGAAAGTATGGCCATTTCATTTGTTGTTTGAAATTAACAGCTGGACTCCCATTTATTTAGATGAATAAAATATTTGCAATTTGATATGATAATTTCCACATTTTTGTGTGGGCGCCTTTGAACCTATTTTTAATTGTGGGGTATAGTCGATGGTGGATGAAGTACAAAGCTAGCAAGAGCAGAACTGGCCTCCACCGAATCTGTTTCACGTCTTGTCAATCGTTCAGGTTTGTCTCAACTGCGGCACATGAAAGTGGCAAAAATGTTTTGTATCTACCAAAAACAATTCCCTTCAAATAATTTCAGTCGACATCGGTTGGTGGAATCGCTCACGTACATTTCATAGCCATCATACGCAGTGATTTCAGGTTTGTCGATTCACAGTTTAACGAAGCGTACATTCGGAATGATTAATTTTCATAAGGAGAAGGAAATCAATATCTCAGTAAAATTCAGTGAACTGGATTTTCTGATCGAAATCGCTTGCCTTCTCCATTATTTATCACATACAATCTTAATACCTGGTTATTACATATACTCAAACACGTAATATCAAAATTCTACTAATCCACCCGAAACTTCTCAGCCAAAAGGAAAATTTTTCATTTTTACACTGCACGTGGACATTGGGTCGTTCGTCTCTGCTAAGCCGTATTTCAGACGCACCGAATGTTAACGAGATTTCATACAATCTATACACTTTACATTTCAGCGCCAATAATTGCACTAAATGCAAAAAAAAATTAATATTAATGCAATAAAAATTAATTAATAATAATAAATAATTTATAGAAAATTCCTCTAATATTTTACGAAAGAATTCCATTGACAAGGGTGGGGTGGATTTTAAAAAAGAACTAAGCTGTCACTCTATTAATATTATGAAAGCTCGTACTCTTGTTCCTTATGAACGTCCACTGTTATTTCGACGTTTATCGCAAAGTAAGTATGACAAAGCTACAAACAACCGATACCATTAGCTTTTAATCTACGTCTTTATTATCTTAATATTCTACCATAAGCTTGTGCTTGTTAGAGATTCCTCTTTTTGTATTGAACATCCTTGTGTTGCGATATTCAACTATCTTCTTTTCTGAGGACAAAAAGAATTCACAAACGGAAGCAGAGACTACACGGAAGGAACGTGACCGTGTTCGGGTGGGCGATGCCAAAAAAAAGAAGCACGTGAATATTTTTGCGTGACGACCTTCAGACATCTTGTGCGCGAGTTTTTGCGGGCGCTTGCAACGTTGGAGGCCGTCTAGATATGCTCTGTAGCACGGGACGTTGACCTTTGCTATCAAGCGGCCGGGTAATTAGAGAGACGTTTTTTATCGAAGCTGCAAATACACTCTTGCAAGTTAGGTGAATTAAGTAAAAAATGAATATTTCATATCGAGGCTAAAACACTTTTAACTGTGAAGAAGAATGTCAGAAGAAAGGAATGTTGTCTGGCAATACAATTTAAACTATGTACAATGAGTCGTCACCGTGTCGTTACATTGCATCTCCATGGTTCATACTGCGTCTGTAGACATATATAATATTTTATTTTGTACTACTGTTTACTTTGGAGTACGCAGGTAATACTTAGGTTTTCCTTGCTTAGATTATCTAATGTGGATGTGCTAGTAGACGTTATATGCACTTTTTCATAAGGAGTAAATGTGGTGTTATCTAGGAAGTGCTAAAGTACTTAACGTATACATTATTAATCCTTATTACTATTAAATGTATTAATTATCTTACTGATCATACCTTACTGAACAGTGGAATTATAGTAGAGTCGATAATAATTGTTGAAATTATTGAAATGAAATATTTTCGCGTTTTTTTTTGAAAGATTAGCTGTATTTAACCCTTATTAATAATAATGACAGTAAACTAACTCTATTACCATTTCTCGATATAGATAATAAACTGTATACAAATTTTTATTTAAAAATTGACATAGTAAAAGTTTTTGCAAACACTGTTGTGTTTCAATATTCAGTATTTTGTTCTAAAAATAACAAACAATACAGTTCATACTTCCACTACCTCTGAATCGAATTTTCAATGGATATGTTTTTGAATGTAAACACAATGATATAATTTATAGGTAAATACTTCAATGTTGTGGAAAATTCTCACGGACCATTTGCCGATGTCTTGCCGCCCTAATGCGGTGATTCTATGTAACGCACGCGCCGACCTTGAATACTGAGCGGCCTTTCCTCGCGCGGATCGCGTTCTCCTTAACGACCGGCGGCCCACGCGCTTAAATTACATTGCGACAACGCGTTTATTTTCGGCGCCGCCCGCGCGTTGCCCAACATGTGAGCGACCCGCGACCCTGAGGCGACCACGGCCCCATGCCGAGGTGTCGGAGGAGATGGCCGAGGCGACGGAGGTTGAGGGTGGCGACGGAGGTTGAGGGTGGCGACGGAGGTTGAGGGTGGCGACGGAGGTTGAGGGTGGCGACGGGGGTTGAGGGTGGCGACGGGGGTTGAGGGTGGCGACGGGGGTTGAGGGTGGCGACGGAGGTTGAGAAGAATGTGATATCAATCAATTCGTCAAATTAATACATCCTTCCTCATTGCCTCCCCCATTGCCACTCACCGTCGCTCGGTCTCCCTTAGCCGCCTTCCCCCACTGCCTCTACATTCGCCTTATGGCTGCCCCTTCCCTCCACCTCTGTCCCCACCTACTCTTTTGCCCTCACTATGCATTTACACTCTGCATTTACACCTCCTCCT